ATGCCACATGGACGAAAACCAATAAAACATAATAAACCAAGAGTACGGGAATTTAAAATCGTTTATAAATATAAATACGCGGCGGAATTAAAATTATCACACGTTTCTCAAAAACAACACTTGTCCAAACCCACAATTAAACACAACCGATTTCACGCAAAACCTTGTTCCACAAACCAAAACGTACAAACAAGATTATTTATCCGTACATAATGAAGTCTTCACAAAGCCGTCGCCGTCCATAGTGCGTTACTCGTGCTCCTCGGGATCTGAAAAATTCAACAACGGAAAGCTAAGCAAAATGTTTAGTGAGCAGCTCGGGTTGAGCCCGGAGAGTCCATTCTCATGGAGAACGGAGCCAACTAATCTCTCAATGTAAGAATTCTTTTAATCCATTTAATCCTTTCTCATTTATCTTTTTAACACTTTAACATTATTTCACACATTTTTCCGATACCTGATAGTACTGACTCAAGTCGTCCACCGGCACTATCAGGTACCGTTCCTTTCGGTATCATCTAGTACTAACTCAATTCGTCTACCGGTACTAGACTTTACCCTGCTTCCCTATAATAGTACTGACTCCACTTCGTCAACCGGTACTATTATAAAGACGACCACTCAGATCCACCGGTCGGTCTACGAGTAGACCGTCCGGTCTACACGTTCTGATTTTCTCTTTTAAGTTTTAAGTGCAAGACCGTTCGTTCTACGAGGACAGACCGGACGTTCCGGTTCATTCGGAATGTCCGTTCTACGTGGTCCAGACCGGCGGTCCTGCGCACTCAGACCGTCCGTTCTCCCTTGTTTCTCAGACCAGCCGGTCTGGGTTCTACTGGGACGGTCGTTCCTGTTCGTTTCTACGTGTTCGTTCTGCCGTGTCCCAGAACGGACTGTCTACGTCCGTAGACCGGACGGTCTGGGACTCAGATCTTCGTCTTCCTCACGAGTTCAGTCCGATTTTTCGCCATTTTTGCCCAAATTCTGATCCGATTTAAGATCTAATTGTTACCCACTCAATACTTAACATCCCTAAGTGCTTAACTCTTGCAGAATCACTAGTCTACACCATAAATCGTGAAAATAGAATCTCACAAACACAATCCAAACCACTCACCTCGGATTCAAGTGCTGTGCGTTTTTGTCCGAGCTCGTGTGTGTTCTTCAGGCCGTCTTTGGTCATGAAACTTTCCAGGAACCTCCTTGAGATGTCCTACTTTGATTTCCCGAGCTTGTTTCGCCTCAAATCTCCCTGAATCTCTCTATTTTCCTCTGTTTTCGAAGAACAGGTTCTGGGTCGCAGAATGGTGATCTTCACCTGTTGGAGCCGGTTAAATCGACCTCTAACGCCGCCATAGGAGCTAGGGAGAGGGTAGGAGGGCCAGAGGGTGCCGTCCACTAGACAGGGGTGGTGGCTGGTGGCGCGTGGGGTCGAGATGTCGCGCAATAATCGCGGCCGAAAGGTGGAAGAAAGTCAGCATTTTTCGGCGTTTTGCTCGCAGGACCCTAGACCGTCCGTTCTGCTGCTGGTCCGTCCGTTCCACTTCGCGAACGGGCAGTCCGTCCGTTCTACACGTTGGTCCGTCCGTTCCGCTTCGCGAACGGGCAGTCCGTCCGTTCTACTTGTTGGTCCGTCCGTTCTGCTCCGCGAACGGGCAGTCCGTCCGTTCTACCTCCTGGTTCGTCCGTTCAGTACCGTTTTTTCGTCTTTTTCTCCGTCTTTCGCTAGATCGGTCGGTCTACCTCTGGACGATCAGTCTACGCCCTATTTCCTTTGTTTGTTTCGACGTTTTCGACGCGTTCGAGTCCCGTTGATCCCTTGGTTCGATTCTTATGTCAATCACCTTATATTTTAGACTTGTCTTACCCTATTTTATTCCCGAAATTAATTTAAATAATTTATTCGGGAATCGGGGTATTACATCTATACCTTTTTTTCTTTTCTTTGCAAACTATACATTTTCATAATTTTTTGACAAACATACCCTTACTTTATTATATAATTTCAGTATTGCCATTTAGCGCCTCGAAAAATGTGCAATATAAAAAACATATTTTTTTGGAAATTGTGTTATCAGGGAGAACTGTTTTTTCATTCGGGAGAGTCTGTTTTTTATCCGAGAGAGCTGTATTTTGTCCGGGAGAGTTTATTTTTTGTCCGGGAGAACTATTTTTTGTCCGGAGGAGCTGTTTTTCATCCGGGAGCTGTTTTTTGTCTGGGAGAATCTCTTTTTTGTCCGGAAGAACGGTTTTTTGTCCGGAGAGTTGTTTTTCGTCCGGGAGAATTTATTTTTTGTATGGGAGAACTATTTTTTGTCCGGGTGAAAAATATTTTTTTAGATAAAAAATAGTTCTCTCGGATGAAAACAAGTTCTTACGGATGAAAAACAGTTGTCCCGGATGAAAATTAGTTCTCCTGAGTCCTGAATAACACAGTTTCCAAAAATCTGTTTTTTATACTGTACATTTTTTGGAGCGACAATATTGAAAATAGATAATAAAGTAAGAATATTTTTGTCAAAAATTTATATAAAGGTATAATTTGCAAAAAATGTATAGATTTTTATTGGCATGGCATATTTAGTACACTGTCGCAAATTTTTTCTAAAATTAATTCACAGTTTGATTTTAAATTTATAAAACTAAATAACTTAATCTGAATTAGCCGTAATCTATTCACCCAAACCGAATCGTTTGCCAAAAGAATAGATTTACCACGTGAACTGTGCATCTCTCTCTTTTCTTCGTCATTTTCTTGAAAGGAAAATGCAGGCAGTTTCCAGGAAAACCCTGTGTCTACATTCCCTCGTTTTCTTCCTCGTTTTCTCGCCTTCCAAACAGACCCCAGAAGAAGGATCCTACTGCGGCAAAATCAAAATTCGACAACCTTTTTCCTTGTCAAACCCGAATTCATCGTTCGCCAACATAATCACCTGCAGATCTGAGAAGCTCTACTTCAGAACCTCCATAGGTGCCTTCCACGTCTCCTCCATCGATTACACAACCAAAACCCTAACTATCTCTCACTCCTCATGTTCTTCTTCCCGAAACTTCATCTCTCCTTCTCTTCTCTCCTCTGGATTCCCTCCGCCGCCGCAACCGAACTCAGTTCTGCTCTTCAGCTGCTCGAAGACGAACCACACCAACACCATCGGGGCGCGTGTATGCACGCGCTCTCCGTCGTGCGGGTCTCCGGCGAGTTCGTGCCTTGTCGTCGACGAAATCGGAAGCGGCGAAGTGGGTTTCCACCCGAAGGATCTGGGTTGCACGAATTATTGGCGCGTGCACAAGTATTCATCGGGTGAAAAAGTGAAATCGGGAACTAGGGTTTCCTTCGACATCCCCGATCACTTGCCCGACGTATGCAGCGAGTGTAAGAAACCAAACGGTAACTGCGGCGTTGGACTCAGATGTCTCTGCCACGCGAAAGAGTGCAGTGAGTTTTGCAACTATTTTCTCATTTTTCTCTAAAGTAGGCAGAGATATATAATGTTATAAAAAAATTTACGCATCGTGGGTTTTCGTTTGATTTCAATTTTTCTGCTCTTGTTGTTGCAGAGGACAAAGTCATCAATGTCGGGGCAAAGTCTCAGGCTGCTTTTGGCAGCATGCAGGTTTTACTGCTAGTTCTGTTTCTAGTTTCTTGATGATCTGAATGTAAATGTGTCCTTAGCATCAAACGTTGTTGTACAATTTGAACGCTCCTCGATCTGACTAAGAGTACGGACGGTTCGAGATGATTGAAATGATGAAATCTTTGTTCAAGTCTCGGCATTTCCTGTTTCCGGGTTCTGTTCTAGGTCGGTCTAAGGCTTGCTCCTCCATCTGGGTACATTCCAATCTCCAATACTCCAAGGCAATAAATGCAAAAGTCTTTAGTTCTGTATACATCAGAAAGTATCAAGGATGTCTAAAACTCTTCTTATGATGGGTATGGACCATCTCCCCAGACGAACCGTCTAGTTTATGCATCGGATCTTCTGTCTGGGTGGTCTTTTGAAACCGAGCCATTATTTGGTGAGATTGAGGCATTGTGCTATGAGCCATATGTGAACTGTTGGGCCACCAACCATGGCTACGACCTTTTCTGGCTCGGATTCATCTGATAGTTTGGCCAAGATTGATCCCCAGGCTTTTCTGGATCGGCTCCACAGAGTTGAAGCTGCCTCCTCGTCTAACCGGCTCTGCCAACCGGGCTGGAGTGAAGGGAGGACCGGGGCTTCATCCTGTGCAGATGACAAAAACAAATCTTGATCTCGCAGGCATAACAATGTTATGACACCCTTACGATGGATTTATGCCGCAGAAAAGCCGCCGAGCTAGCCATCCGGAACTGGCGAGTCGTCTACTTTGCCTTTGGTTCTATGATCCCTGATCATCACGCTTTGCTAGTCTTTGCTAATTAGCTTACGGATTGATTTTGTAACATTGTATTTAATATCCACTAGTGGTGGATAATCACTCTTGTAGCTCAAGTGTCTTTTTTAATACACACCACCTTTAACCCAAAAAAAAAAAGCCATTGGAGATGACCTGGAGGAGGAGACATGGACTGGGATCAGGCCGGAACTATGGGCCTGAATCCGAGTTTCCTTTCGATTCTAAGTTCCACTCGCTTCGCCGCCTCTCTTCCTCCACGGCCTTGCCGGTGCTTTGTTCTTGCACGGTCGATGATGATCGGATCCGGAGACAGCGACTAGGGTTCCGATCGGTTGTTCTGCGGAGGAGAAGAATGCTGTCAGGGAAAAATCCCAGTGTGTGCGCGGAGATATCATTTCTTGATTTCCTTTTTTATTTTAACTTCCTTTTATTTACTCTTTCGCCGTACTTTTCCATTTTATTATTTATTTTCCCATAATTTTTGAAACAACAGACTGAGAGAATGGAAACTATAAGGGCAAAATGTCTTGAAAACCTACACTAAAAACCTATAAAACATGACAAATATAACATCACATTTATTAGTGGTGGATATATCACATAATTTATGTTCGGTCATACATGTATTATAGGTGTTATTTTTTTAAAATTGAAAAAATTAAATTTGAATGGAATATAAAAATAATCCACTACAGATTAAAACAAAACATAATACGAAAACAAATGGAATCTAATAAAATCTTATATATACTATTTTTAATATAAAAAAATAGCGAATTAGACCTAACCGCATTATATCAGTCCGTAACATTTAGGGAGATTCACATATTAAATATTAAACTTTAACCAAATTTCCAAATTAAATACTTAACTATCTCACTTCCAAATTAAATACTCAACTATATTGAAATTCACAAATAAAAACTAAACTTTTCAAATTTTAACATATACCTAAAGGATAATCCAAAACAAAACCCTTTACTTTTTTTCATCACAATTTAAACCCTATATTTTTTTATCCAAAAAACCCTATACTTTTCAAAATTTTAAAAATTATACACATTCATATACATATATTAATTATTATAAGCACAAAATCTATTACACATTTATTTTCCACAAAATTAATTGCACATTTATTTTATATATTTATATGTATATATATGTTTTATATATATGCGTGATATATGTATTTTTTTCTAAAAAATTATTATATATAAAAAAAACTATTTATTATTTGTATATTGTTTTATATATAAAAAACTATTTTCCAAAAACATATTTATATGTATATATATGTTTTATATATGTATGGTATATGTATTTTTTTCCTAAATTTTTTATATATATAAGAAATTATTTATTATTTTTATATGAGTTAAATTGTCCAAAAAAACATGTTCTTGAAAAATAGTTTCTTATATATAAAATAATATACGAATAATAAATAGTTTCTTATATATATACTGATTTTTAGGAAAAAATACATATATCTTACATATATATAAAACATATATATACATATAAATATATAAAATAAATGTACAATTAATTTTGTGGAAAATAAATGTGTAATTGATTTTGTGCTTATAATAATTAATATATGTATATGAATGTGTATAATTTTTAAAATTTTGAAAAGTATAAGATTTTTTTGGATAAAAAAAAAAGTATAGGGTTTAAATTGTGATGAAAAAAATGTAAAGGGTTTTGTTTTGGATTATCCTTTAGGTATATGTTAAAATTTGAAAAGTTTAGTTTTTATTTATAAATTTTAATATAGTTGAGTATTTAATTTGGAAGTGGGATAATTAAATATTTAATTTGAAAATTTGGTTAAATTTCAATATTTAATACGTGAAGTGGTTGACAGATATATCTTTTCAAGAAAATAAAATACTATATGACGTTGAAGTGGCTGACAGATATATCTTTTCAAGAAAATAAAATGCTGATAGATATATCTTTTCAAGAAAATAAAATACTATATGACGTTGAAGTGGCTGACAGATATATCTTTTCAAGAAAATAAAATACTATATTTGTGTGTGTATATATATATATCCGTACCTACCCAAAGCCAACCGACAGGATCCGTGAATCTAAATATAAATCCAAAAACCATCCTTTAATTGTCCATAGACACAAAGCAAACTCTTCTATACTCCGACCAATCATGACGCGCCACGTGTTCGCCTTGCCTTTCCCCGGCCGTGGAGACATCAGCCCTGTCATGGACCTCTGCCACTCCGTCGTCTCCCGCTCCGACGACGTCCACTTCACCGTAGCCGTCACTGAGGAGTGGCTCTCCGTCTTCACCGGCGGGTG